TAATATTAGGATAAAAATGATTCACAAGCTATAAAGTAAAATCTTTGTTCGACGTTTTTGTTTTCAGATCCGAAACTGTTCATCAAGAAAAAATTTCATTACAACTATATTCTTACATAATTGCTTTTTTTTTAATATATACAAGATAAGGCATCATGTAGTTGAAATTAAATCGTAAAACGACAGTAGATATTTAATAGTTTTTTCAGATATTTATTATCTTAGATCGAAAGAACGGGTGATGTCAAAATTTGTCAGGTTTTTAAATTGACAATATGGTCGGAATTTTACACATACTTTTGTATATAGAAATGTAATCCTCAGCAACACAAGTAAACCGATGACCCGGAAGCCGACGCAGCATAACCGAACCAATAAATAGGTGCAACAAACATTTTCTAACGTTCTTTTTAATTTGTAATTTCATTGTACAACAAAAGTTCCATAGTTTGTAAATTTGTGATTTCTCAAATAAAACCTTTTTTAAAAGACAAGTTTAAGTGCTCCCAACATTTCTGGCGCTGCGAACAGGATTCATCGTACAGAAACCACCCGTTTCCTGGTCAACTTCAGTTGTTCGACGAGAATCCATTGAACCTGGGATCAGAAGGAAGAGCATGCAGAAAACATCATTACTGATCGTCTTCCTGTAAGTCAATTTTCCTTTTTTCCTTTATGAGCATTTTGAACGATATTTCTAGAAATAATTTAGAAGTTTTATTTGAAAATCTTACCTTAGATATTACTAGTTCTAGTTCTAAATATAATATTCGTAATTCTAAAAAATCTTTAAATAAATCAAAAATGCCTATGTCAAACGCTGATATTTCTAGCCTATGCGCTACTTTGCCTGAATTTTCTACTGGAGATAATCTCTCCACATTTATTAAATCTGTTGATAATTTAATTGTATTTTTGGGTACACAAGATATTACCCAGCCACAAGAATTTGTTTTAAATGCCAATATCGCTTCTCGTATCAAGGGCGAACCTAGAGATTTTTTAAATTATTCCAATAAAACTATTTGGACTGAAATTCGGCCTGCTTTGCTCGCTAAATATGGCGATAGACGTTCCGAAGAAATTTTAGTGAATCAATTATCTACTACGGTACAAAAACATAACGAAAACTATGACCAATATCACCAAAGGGTTTCCAATAACTTAAATGATCTTCTACAGCATATCTCTCTTAATGACAATCCTGCCACAGTTGCCTTTAAAACCCCTTATTTTAAGAATATCGCTCTTAAAACATTTTGTACCGGCATAAATGACCCCTATTGTGAATATCTGTCTCATTTTCAAATTAACTCTCTCGAAGAAGCCCTCCAAAAATGCATCTCTTATGATAACCACAAAAGTCAACAACAGTATATGAATTTTCCTAAAAGGTCAACAAAATAAGCGACCTAATACATTCAAACAAAAACCAAATATTCCAAATCAAAATCATTCAAATAGATTTAATACTAGAACCAATAATCCGCCCATTTTCAAAATAACTTCATGTACCCCCCTCGTAATATGCAAGAGCCCACATTCAATTTTCCGCGACAACCTAATTATAACTTTCCAGAAAGAAATTCTCCACAGGCTAATCAAGCCAGCCCTCCTAGAAATTATTCTCAACACAATAATTTCGGCAATAATCCAAATTTCATAAAACCTCTCCCAAAAAACATGTATAATAGACGAAATATTCCAAATCAAAATTATACTTCTCCTATGAGTGGTGTACAAACAATCTCAAGCAATCAACCCATGACTGTTTCTACAAGAAGAACTCACAATTTTAACATAGATACTAATATTGACGAAAATCCCGAAAATTTCACACAAAACGCCGAATCAGATAGTTATGAACATTCTCAGGATTTTCAATACGGCCTTTTCAAAGACGACCCACCTCTTCTATAAATTTAAATAATATTAATAACAATCCCCGATTACCATACTTTATCATGCCTAAAACTGGACTGAAAGTTTTAATCGATTCAGGAGGTTCTGATACAATTATTTCTCCTCAAGCTTTAAAATATTTTAATCCATCTCATATTTATGAAAAACCCTTTACATTAACTTCAATGAATATGACTCGTAAATATTTTCAAAATATAAAAACTCCTGTACTCAAATGTATGAACGTAAATTATATTTTTGATGCGCGAATTGCTGAGTGGAATCGCGAATTTCATATTTTACTCGGCAATCGTGATTTAGAAAATTTACAAGCTGTTATAAATTATCAGACAAAAACGTTGACCCTTGAGAGTGTCGGTGTCATAATTCCATTTCATACGCTTTATAATAAAATTCCCGTAGACATTGCGGAAGGTGAAATTCTATTCCCTGAAACAAAAATTAATCACGTAATTATACCGGAGTCCATTCACATTGCGAAAGACAATTACATAGATAATATTTCTCTCTGTAATCATATTCAAATTGAACCCATCCATGTAGAAAAATTAAATAATTATGAAGTTTCAAATGGCCCAACAAACTTTAATCCTTCTGTTATTAGAACTAGTCATTTAAATTTAGAAGAAAAAGATAAAATTTTAAAATTATGCAAAAGATACAAAGATATTTTTTATGATGATAAAAATAAGTTAACTTTTACTTCTGGCATTAAACATGAAATTAGAACGCGAGATGAAAATCCTATTTATGTAAGAGGATTTAGGCATCCAAAAAAGATGCAAGAAGAAATTACAAAGCAAGTAAATAAATTATTAGATAACGATATTATTAGACCTTCCATATCGCCGTTTTCTGCTCCTGTCTGGATCGTACCAAAAAAAGCCGATGCATCCGGAGAGCAAAAATTCAGGATGGTAATTGATTATCGTAAACTGAACGAAAATACGATAGATGATAAATACCCTTTGCCCAAAATTGACGAAATATTAGACAATCTCGGTAAAGCCACATATTTCACAGTTCTCGATCTTGCCCAAGGTTTTCACCAAATCGAGGTACATCCCAATTCCATTGAGAAAACTGCCTTCACAGTTCCTCATGGTCATTTTGAATTTACGAGGATGCCGTTTGGTTTAAAAAATGCCCCAAGCACTTTCGAAAAATTGATGGACAATGTTCTTAGACCCTTTCTTCATAAGTTTTGTTTCGTATATATGGACGATGTTATTATATTTTCTAAGTCTTTACATGAACATCTTGTTCATATTGCTACAATATTCGATACATTCCGAAAAAATAATCTGAAAGTACAATTGGATAAATCAGAATTCCTTACAAAAGAAGTTGCTTTTCTTGGTCACTTAGTAACCGCTGATGGTATTAAACCAAATCCTAGCAAAATAGAAGCTATCCAAAAATTTCCATTGCCAAAATCAGTGAAAGAAATCAAATCCTTCTTAGGTCTTATAGGATATTATCGTCGATTTATACCCAATTTTGCTAAAATTACATCCCCTCTTTCCAGATGTACTCGCAAAGGAGCCGTAGTCGATCCTAAAAATCCTAATTATCTAGAATCATTTGAAAAATGCAAACAATTAATAACCAATGCCCCTGTACTCCAATATCCAGATTTTTCAAAACCTTTTGTTCTCACTACTGATGCTTCCAATGTAGCTATTGGTTCTGTGCTTTCTCAGAACAATCATCCAATCGCATATTATTCGCGAACTCTAAATTCGGCTGAACAAGCTTACTCCACAATTGAAAAGGAACTCTTAGCCATCATAGATTCTTGCAAACATTTTCGTCCTTATTTATATGGCCAAAGATTCTTGGTCGAAACGGACCATAATCCCCTTGTCTGGATCTATAAAATTAAAGATCCTACGTCTAGACTAGCACGTTGGAGACTAAAACTTGATGAATATAATTTTGATGTAAAATATAAGAAAGGAAAGGAAAATCAAGTTGCTGACGCCCTTTCTAGAGTACAAATTAATGCTCTAAGTACCAGTTCAAACGGTGCCGAACCTTCAGATATTGATGAACAGTTCGACCCAGACGAATTTCTAGAACAATATGACCGACTGCAAAATTATGATGATACTCAACACACTGCAGTTGAAAATCCCATTACTGGAATACAAATTTCGGAAGAACCAATTAATATGTCGACAAATCAAATTATAATTAACGATCACTCAGAAAAATTCGATTTAGTTTATAGAAAAATATTTAACAAACATAGATACAATGTAAATGTCACAGAAGATTGGAAAAAAGAAATACCAGAATCTTTTAAAAATATCTTAAGACCCAATCAAAAATTTGCCATAAAAGTTTCTCACGAATTTAGACCTTTCATTTGCAACTACTTTAGAGAAAATATAGACTCAACCGTTAAAACCTTTTTCTGCAATAAAATACTGCAAGACATTGAAGAAGAAGAAAGACAAATCGAATGCGTAAAGAAATACCATACCGAGAATCATAACGGTATCGTAGAAACCTACAAACATTTAAAAAATAAATTTTACTGGCCTAATATGCAAACTACTATTTCTAACTATATTAATCAATGTGAAATTTGTTTAAAAAAACAAATACGAAAGACGTCCCTACAAACTTCCACAGTTAGGACCTTTACTTGGACAAAAACCTTTTGATATCATACACATAGATTTATTCCATTGCAACAAAAATCTCTATTTGACAGTTATTGATTCATTCTCCAAGTATGGACAGTGTTACAAAATACCCGACAAAACTTCTTTGTCAATCCTAAGTAAACTCAGACACTACTTCTCACACCACAACTATCCCAAAAAAATAGTATGCGACAGTGGTACCGAATTTAATTCCGCCGTTATTAAAGAGTTCATGAACCTTCACAAAATTGAACTGCATTTCACTACAGTAAATAATTCATCTTCGAACTCCCCTGTAGAACGATTTCATTCTAACCCTTATCGAAAAGCTTAGAACTTTAAAAGACCAAATCCAAACGATCCATTAGATGATATCTTCACCCACGCTGTGTTAATTTATAATCAATCAATCCATAGTGCCACTAATTATTCCCCTTTTTCTATTCTCTACGGACCTTACGCCGAAGAAATACATTTTGATTTTGACCTTCCGGTATATGAAACCTATAACCAAAGACACAAAGATGAACTTCAAACCTTTTATAGAACACTTATACGAAAAACAAAAAGAAAAAAGACAAACATACTTGACAAAGCAAACGAGACTGCCGAAGAGATACCCCGAAATAAATCTTGCACAACCCCTTTATGTAACTAAGAAAAAACATAAACCTAAATTACAAAATCCCTATTCTACATTACGTCCAGATAAACAAAATAAGACAAAAGTAATCGGTAAAACTGACAAACAAAACGAAACAAGCACTCACCTAAAATTTGCAAAAAGAGCCCGAAAACTTATAGACAAAACTTCTTTACAGGACGATCCTATCCCTGGGACATCTTCTCAAGATCCAACAAATTCCGAATAATGGTTATTTTGCCGAAGAAGTTGGAAAATCCAGAGAAACCTCACATTATCACAGACATATCTTACACATAAATCTACAAAAATTAGAAGAAACCTTAGAACGAGATCCTATTTACTATTTTAAAACCCCTATTAAAAATGGACCTCTGTCCTCATTGTATTCCCAGTATAATCACTTACATGACCTAGCTAAAGACAATTTACACAAAATAACTAGAAAACAGAAAAAAGGACTTTTTAATTTTCTTGGTACAGCTATTAAATATGTAGCGGGTAATCCCGATAATTCAGATCTAGATATGTTAAGAACACACATTACAGCTATTGAACTTAAAGAAAATGAAATCATAAAAAAATTTAACAATCAAATCTCATTTGGACAGTCAATTGATACGAGATTCGAGAAACTTATAAACAAAATTAATAATAATAGTTTTGTACTTCTAATCCGCAGTTAATAAATTATCTGCCGATTTTGACGGCTATGTTGCTCTACATAATGAAATAATAAACCTTCAAAATATAAACGAATTCTTAATGAAACTTATCAGAACAATCACTTTATCCCATTTAGATATCCCAAATATTGAATTATTCACATTAAACGAACTCGAAAGTTTAAAAGAAAATCTTCTTCAAATTTATTCAAGAAATGCCCTTCTTATTGATGATAATCATCCTTATGAACTTATAGAAGCATCTAAAGCCCTTGTTTGTGTCACTTCTCAAACAATGCTCATAATAATAAAAATCCCTATCCTTGACATTAACCTATACCTTACCTATAGAATTTATCCTATCCCTAATTCAGATCACATTATGATATTGCCACCCACACATTTCTATGCTAACAATAAATGGTACGAAGACTGTAAGGGACATGCTGAATACATAGTTTGTACGAAATTGATCAAATCGAGATGTTCCATACCCAATGTTCAAAATTGCACTAAAGTCGTTGTCACAGAAAACTTCTTCCAAGAAACCAATAAAGTAATATTATTAGGAGTAGTCAATCCAATAAAGATTCAAGAAGAAAAAGTCATAGCTAGTAGTATTCTAATGACGGACGAACCAATTATCATAGAAGGAACCAAATATAATAAAAAGACTACACAAGAAATCTCCATCCCAGAAGTTGTTCCCATAAAATTGATACCAGAGCATAAAATTCAAATTGAAAAACTCAAAATTCCAGAGACCCATGGCCAGCTTCAGCCAATAGAAACATTGGACCCTTTTCCAAAAATTTCAACGGGACTTGGCACCACCAGTTTAATTTTAATAGTTTTCTTATTACTATTTATTTTTATTTTTCTAATAAAAAAGAAAAAAAAGAATTTCCAGATTACTTTTTGGGCCCAAACTGCAGCCAGCCCAAATTCAAATTCTAGATCAGCTAATCGCAGAAGTTTCCCAGACTTCGAGGACGAAGTCAATTCCAGAGGAGGAAGGAGAAATGTAATCCTCAGCAACACAAGTAAACCGATGACCCGGAAGCCGACGCAGCATAACCGAACCAATAAATAGGTGCAACAAACATTTTCTAACGTTCTTTTTAATTTGTAATTTCATTGTACAACAAAAGTTCCATAGTTTGTAAATTTGTGATTTCTCAAATAAAACCTTTTTAAAAGACAAGTTTAAGTGCTCCCAACATTTCTATATATATAATATATATATATATATATATATATATATATATATATATATATATATATATAATATATATATATATTGTTATGATATGTAAAATCGAGAAAAATATTGGTTTGCTTAAAATATTTCAAAGTTCAAAAAATTAAAATAATTCAGATAAGTCGAATAATAAACTACAAACATTTCGAAGAATGAAAGTCTTTTATCTTTGGATTACCTATATTAAACAGAAAGTAAGATATGCATAAATTATTTTCTTTGTTAAAATATATTTGAGTGACGTGAACGAGCTTAAGTGAAATCCTAGACAATGGAAGCGGGTTTTCCAAATAAATTTGTGCAGTAATTAGGACAATACAATAGATTTTAGAAAGATATGTTTTTGTTAGTTCATAAAAATTGGTAGAAAAAGATTAGTTTGTAAATAAGTTTTAGGAAATTTTATAATTGTAGGTAAAAATTTGTTTGTGTTATCGAAATGAAGAAATGGGAGATGTATGACGCGTTTTGATTGGATGAGATTGAAAAAGGTGGGATGGTTGGTTTGAGAATGAGACTTTAGTTAGTTTTGAAGAAAAAAAAGATAGTCAGTTGGTTTCCAAGGGTGCAAGGCGAACGGCCGTTGTTCTCGGGTAGTTTCCCAGAGGTAGGAAGCAGTAGCAGTGAAAGTTTGTGAGTTTTCGTGTAGTTAGTGTATCTGATAGAAGCTGATCCAGTAAAAGATTGTAAGTCATATTTTTCTACTTAGATTCCAAGAGTCACTGTTCAGGCCAACGAGAGACTCAGTTTATCGTAAAGAGAAGATATTCCAAGAGTCATTTTTCACTCAGGCCAACGAGAGATTCAGTTTATCGAGAGGAGAAGAGGCTAGCATAATTTGAACGATTCGTGCATTTGAAGGAGATCATTGATAAACTTGCAACAGTTTGCTGTAAGATTGCTGATTACCTAGGAGCTGCTAAGAATAGATAGTGTAGGCTACAAGAAACAAGGATTTGGACCACTCATCATCATAGAGGGATAGTTTTGTTTTTCTGCATCTTTTATTGATAATACAATTTTTACAATTACTTTAGAAAAGATATAAATATTTTGATTAGGAGATTTAGAATAATAATTGGGATTTTGAAATTTTAACTAATATTGTTTGTACCATTAATTTTGAAGTTTCACGTACGTAGAACAAAATTTTGAGAATCATTATATGAGATATTGTTTATTGAAAACATTTGAGTGTGAATTTTATTTCATTATTTTTATTCCAATATATAATGTTATATCATATATGTTTTTTATTATTCCGGTATTCTTTGGACCTTACCTTTCACATGTAAAGCATAGATATTGAAGCACGAATATAACCCTGAGATAAGAGAATTAAAAAGTGTGATAGAATCATAATCATATCATTTAAATAATTTTAATTAATTAATTAATTAATTAGCTAATTATTGCTTGGCGCACTAAGACTTTGAATACACAATAATATATATATATATATATATATATATATATATATATATATATTTATATATATATATATTTATATATATATATATATATATATATATATATATATATATATATATATATATTGTGATTGAGATAATATTAAATATCGGAGAAACGAAAGGAAAATACCCCAATCGAAATACACCCGATATATGATTATTTCTGATCCTTTATCGTGTTGTTTACGGGAAACGGGTACATTCCAACCGCAAGTTGCTGACAATAGTGGTCGTCCAATAATGGATGCAACTGACGAGGACATTTTAGAAATCATTGAAAAAGTGCCTGGAACAACTACTACAGGGTAATAGCTGCTCAACTAAAGTTACTTCTTCTCACGTAAGAGTTTGGATGCGTTTAAAGGATCAGCTGTTTAAACTAATAAATAAAAGGTTAAATACGTTTATTGACGTTTCAATTTCCACTTCGGAAATCGTTCTCAAAATACAAAATAAAATGAGTATTTTGAGAACGATTTCCGAAGTGGAAATTGAAACGTCAATAAACGTATTTTAACCGTTAATTGTGGCTTATTTCCAGTTAAATAGTAATTGATTTAAAATGCCACAAGAAAATAGCTTTAGAACAATACTTTACAACTAATTTAGAGTGATAAAACTATAGTATTTAGTCTAATGATTTTATTTAAGGTTTATAGATTAACTATAGCAATTAGTAATATGTCCTTATTGTAATTAGTGTATACAATATTTTTGTGTCAATGGCCATTGCAGCCAAGATACAATAATTTAAATAAAAAAAATAAGAATAAACAGAAGTTAAAATATTTAACTCAGATACCTGATATACTGTTAAAATAAAATCACTTGTATTTTTAGTTTCGAAATAGTTCAATAACCCCACTATAAATCAACAACTTGTAGTTGCTTAATAACAAAAGGAGATTCTTCACTGAAAAAAGATCCTATGTTTTTTGTATAAAAACACTAAAATTTCTTATTACCTTATACTTAGACATATAAGTAAAAAAAATGTTTCTGGATCTTACTCACCTTCGACTAGGATATTTCCTGTATAAATCTAGCGTGGCATCATAAAATGATTTTCCACTAATTACTGTCCTCAGAAAACTTCTCAGCGCACTCAAATGAAACACTTTCTTCTCTTTCCAATAGTTCATAGGTTTGATGAAGAATAAATAATATAAAAATATACAAACAATAAAAAATACGAGTAACGGTGCTGTCATTTTCGTTATTAATACAAAATCAGTCTTGTTGATATTTCAAAATCATTTCGCACTTTGATTCAAATTATTAATACTCGTTTGCCATGACTGACAGAATGTTGTCAGTCAACCTCGAATTATCATCTCGCTTACTACCGTATGTGTTATTGGATGTTATTTTTAATATGTAAAAAAGCAATTATTAACGTTGCGTGAGCTTTGTTGTGATATTATGAGACGCGCATTAACTGGTCATATCGTTTAAATAGTATTCATTAGAAATGTTGATGGTAAAGGTTAAAGGTAAAAAAGATGTAAAAAATATATTTAACGGATATCATACGAACTGTCCGACCAGAATATAAAAACAGTATTCTTGAATTATCTTTCTTAAACACCTATTCGGTGCTTAATACCAATGAGATAAGAAACGGAACTTAACTCATTTTAAGAAATGGTGAAACTTTTGTGCTTAGGGTAGTAGTATTTACAAATATATTATAGAGGAAGTGTACCTCATGTTAAAAATATTTACTCAATACTTCATTTTGGTTTATTTTGTGTTTTTTTTAAATTATATTAAAAATGTCTAATGTTTTTTCATTTGTAAGAAACCTTATTCAACAATATGTGAGATAAACAATTTCCATATTTTACATACTGACACCTACCAGACACATAACTACTTTTATCCACTCATTTTTTTACCTTCATATCCATATCCTTGTAATTTAGCAATAAGCAGATCATGGTTAACTCTGTGGAAGACTTTAGAGAGGTCTGTGTCGATAGCATCAACTGGAGACCCTTATGTTCGATTGAATTAGCAATAAAATTAGTATACAGTATTAAGTTTGTGCATGTAGACTTTCCTTCGGCAAAGCCATGTTGTTAACCTGAATTTTATAATACCTATATAGTGATATATAGATTTTTAATATAATGTAATTTAGTGATATAATTTTACAATCAATATATTCCTATAATGATAACATGTAATAAATAAAAATAAATATAATATAAACATAATTTATTTATTTCATCATTTTTTAATATATAAGGTTTAACCTAAAACACTTAAATAAAATATTCTACATTACTGAGATAGAGTGTTACACATATACACAATACATAATCTTATTGTTTGGCTCATTTCACATGAATGTCTTTAATCCCCTAGATTTTTATTTTTGGGGACATATGAAGACCCTATCAACCAAACATATTTCTGAAGGTTAGGAGAAAATTTTTCTGATATAATTCAAAAATGTTTTGAAATGAAAGGAGGCGACTTTGACAATGTATTAAATTGATTTATTGTTACAGTAGTCTAAATAAATATATTTTTTTCAATGGTATTGTCTTTTGTATCATCAATCATTTTATTAACAAGCTCGAGATCTGAAAATTTACCAAGGAAAATTGTTTTAGTATAATAAAAATTATAATTATGATTTTTTATGAACTCAAACATCAAAAATCATTTGAAATGGAATTTACTAAATGTATAACTTTATTAGTGACTAGTTATGACTAGTGGAAAATGGAATATAGCAATAAAATAAGATTATGTATTTTAAACATATCCTCTAACACAAATACATAACTTGAAAACTACTTACTCTTTTAAACATAAATAATCAAAAAACATGATGTAATGATTATTACAACAGCAGCATAGATTATGGGGGGAAAAAAGGAAGTATTTAAAATCCATATAGAGAATATGAAGATATCATATTGTTGCGAACTGTGTTTTTTATTTTAAACATAACATTTTAAAATAAAAATGTTTATATATTGTTAAATACAAACACATCATGTATGTTACAATTAACTACAAACATGACACAATAAAATAAAAATATATTATAACCTGGCCTAAAAGTTTTGAAACCCCTTAGAGAGTATGAAGAAATGTTATTACTGCAAATTTTGTATTATAAAATTTTTAAATAAAAATGTTTTTGATCAGCTTGATCATTAGAGAATTTGATTGATATTTTGCAATTAAGGTATCATTTTATATATTGTTAAATAAAAAAAAAACATAAAACCTGTATGTTACAATTAATTGCAAAAAGGTCAAAAGAAACAAATTTAAAATATATTACAAAGTGGTTCAAAACCCTTAGAAAATACTAAGAAATATTGCCATAAACTTTGTGTTATAAAATTGTTATATAAAAATGTTTATAATTTAATAAGCATTATACCATATATATTATATACGTTACAATCAATTAAAAATTCAAAAATTAAATCAAACCTAAAACGTACTACAATACAAATACACCTAAAAGATACTACTACAAAGAACAATGTTTATAACACAGACATTACAACTTTTTAGAAGTTTTATAGAAGCTTTGGGGAACCTGACATAAAATTCATTAATATAGCAAGGCTTACATGGATAGAGCATTTAATTAGGCAAAAGGTAGGTGCAACAGTTAGAAAGGTTTTTGACAAAACAGGGCTGATATGACAATGAGCCAGAGGAAGACCAAGATTTAGGTATCGAGACAACCTAGAGGATAATTTAAAATCTATTGGAATTAGAAAATGGAGAAGAGTTGTCAGATACAGGGGTCAATGGAGGATTGTTCTGAAGAAAGATGTGATGCCACTGATGATGATAATGATACATTGTCACAAACTATCTACAAATTGTTCTAAAGTCCTCAAATCTGTCAGATTATAATATTTTAAAATATTCCCATTTTACTGTGCCCTTATTGATTGCCCTTTACAACTTCTTGTCTTTTTTTTCTTCTATGATTGTAAATTTGCGCCTGTCCCAAACTTCTCATGCCTCGTTTACATTTGAGAAAACAAACCTTTTTAGTTTTAGCTAGAGTTTGTCAACTTGTTCCTGTAAGATAAGAATTTTTTGTTAACATTATCAAATGTCTTTAGACAAAGTCAAAGAAATTTTAAAATAGTGCATTAAAATAAAATATTTGTACCTGTTTCTGCAATTTTCTCTACTTCAATATTAAGCGGCTGGTACAGTTCAACTGGATCAAAACTGTAATCAAAATAAACAGTTTGTCTTTATCCTTCTACAAATAATTTTTGGTTGGTACTCTCCAATAAAACTTGTCCTCTACTTTGAAGATTCATTATAGATTGTAGTGGAAAACAGCATGTAAAACACATAAAGTAACAGCTTTCTAATAAAACAATCTCTTACCAATTGAGGTAGTTGTTGATGTAGATGGCCCTTGTATTGGGCAATCAAATGCATTAAAAAAAATAAGTAACACAGCTTCTCTCTATAATCTTTAAGTATAATATTTATTCAACACTTTGCTGCAGCCCGATTGATGTAATCTAACCGGCGACCTGCTATTTCTATAACTCAAGGAAATATCATTTTTCATTTTCATATATTTTCTACATTTCCTGACTAAACAATTTAAACATAACTTCAATAGGTCACGTGACAAAATCGTCGAATAAAAAGATAGAACATACTGATTACCTAACCTCACTAACTGATGTCAAAAATGTCATTCAGTCGTCCAATGAGAAGATGGAATTCAAGGTGGCAATTAGCCTCTCGTAAAAAAGGTACCTTTGGCTGTAGTAACGTGACAGCATTCAGTGCATCCGGTAATATAATATTGCACCAAGAAATTAACGCACTGCTTTAAAACTTACCATATACCATGAAAATGTTTACTTTTGTAAAACAGATTTGGTGATGTTGTCGCTAACCATCTTTCACGTTCATAAACTTAACACAATCTTAAAACAATGAACAACAAAGCCGCTAATTCTAAAAATTTAAACCGCAATTTTTTTTGCTTAATAAGACGTATTTTCAACTCTACGAACTTGCTATAAATAACAGCTTGGTATCGACGATTTTACGTATCAACCAGTTTATGCCAAATTTGAACAAAACGTTGTTCCAGTTTAGTTGATTAAGACAGTGTTTAGTTGATTCAGAGAATTCCACATACGTCTACTAAGCAAGTCTCAAACATTCTTTATGGGATTTTTCAAAACAAAATTTTCGCTAATGTCTTGATGATGGTCTTGAAGAACATCAACAATATATCGGTGAGCGTTGATAGTACCGTTATTCAACCCCAGCATGTATGTATGACATACACTGTACATACCGTTCGTTCTGACATCGGTATACACGAATACGCCTGTCACAGTTGGAAAGACAAAATAGACTTTGATCTGTAAACAGCACTTTATTCCAATCAGCATTTAACCAATGGAAATGATTTCTTGCAAATTCTAAAGCAGATATAGGATTTATCAAGTTACCTTCCTTGAGACCTTAGCGAATAGTTTTACAGCAGATTCGAACGTTATGAACATGTTCAAGTTGGGACTGTAAGCTTCTGGTAGTTACAAATCGTTGTCTTAAGGTATAAAGTCGTAAAAAATGGTCTTGAACAGAACTTGCTCAACCACTATTTGAGCTCACTATTCATTAGTAAAATTTCTTGATTCGCGTTGCATTTTCATTGTACCAATAGCTACATATTAGCAAAAACAGTAATAGTTCGCACAACGACTTAAAAATGACACTAACCTCTTATTGACATAACACTTAAAGCTTTTTGTTTGTTCTTTAGAAACCGGTTAAAACAAAAAACAAAACAAGTAACCTGATGCAAACATTTCAAAAACATGGTAGGGGACAGTGCCCTACAGTAGCCATGCTCCTACAGTGGACACTTTTAAATTTCTGCGAATCTATATCCTGGTGCGTGCTGCCACCAGGCACTTGTTAGGTGCGCATTAGCATCAGCAACGTTGCACGGTGACGATGCATCTGTCAGTCACGTGTAGTTCGAGCAGTGAGAAGGTGTGTGTTTTGCGATGCAAAAAGTAACGTTTTCATCAAAATAGTGAGTAAAATTGTACATTATCATTTATATTTTATTCCAAGTAACATCCATGGCATTAATTGTGTATCTAGTGACCACATATTTCCCCTGTTTTCATCTGCTAAAAATTGTATAGAATATCATATCTACCATTTTTCTAAAAAATGTGATCATTCCTACAGTGGCCATGGTAAATGTAGCCAACAGTGACCACTGCTTTTTGGATTCATTTAGGGGTGGCCACTGTGGGAATGAATTTGGTTTTAATGCTTTTTTTATAGATGCCGAAAGGTGAGAAACTGACAATTACACCAGAGCATGTAATGCGGGAAG